CGAGGACCTTCAAGAATGGGTCCATCCTCTTTGAAGAACTCATCTCCCACATACACGCTGAGATTTTAAGCTCCTCGATGCTGCACTTTCCTGAATGCAACTACCTTCCTCTGCCCCCATGCCTGTGCCTTATCCCATTTGCCTGGAATATCCCTCTCACTTTCATTTGCTTACTGAACTCCTACTCAACCTTCAAAATGCATCCTGATAATCGCATCAGGGAACCTCCCAAGGGCCCAGGTGAGTCTGCTGTGCTCCCTCTCACGTAGCCTTGACTCAGCCTGTGGGGTGCTAAAGGCTCCACCGTGTGTCTCCCCACTGGATGTCAGTACTTCATGGGTGGAGCTGTGCCTTGTTCATTTCATTCAACTCAGAAGGACCCAATGAATGTTCAAGGGTGATTAATGACACAGCCAGAACTTACAGCTCATCGTCCCTTCACCGCTAAATGCCTAAAAGCATCAACATTACCGTGTCTACAGTCTCATATTTCCTTTTTTTCTTTCCCATGTTGTACCTACGCTTTCCCCAGTTACTTCAGTGAGACTATGTGGCAAAGATCACTAATGATCCTCTAAGCAACAAATACTGTAGTGTGGACTCTCTCGGACTTTTCCTTCCCAGCCTCTTATTCTGGTTTCTCGTCCTCATCTTACCCTGTAAACAACAGTCTCCTCACTCTTTCCTTCTCTCTGGGTGTTCTGATTCACCCTGAAGGCTTCAGCGACTGCCAACATGCTGAGATTCCTACACCTAAGTCATCCTCTCAGGCTACCTAGAAGTCCCACAGGTACCTACGCCAAACTTGATCAAAACTGAAGTTATCCTTTGCCTCCAGGATCTGCTCCCTTCACCTCTATCAGTGAGGAGAGCCCCTATCCATACAGTCACCCAAGCAGAATTATGAAAATCTTAGCCTCCTTCTTTCCACTCATAACTTATACCCAGAAAGTCATCCAGTCTTGTTGATTCTACCTCCTGAACATTTCTGGAATATCTCGTCCCCTCTCCTTCACTACTGTTTGTGACTTGCTCTGGCTCCTTTCCTTGTAAGAAAGAATGACCACAGGTGGTCACCTAACTGGTCTCCCCCTATTGTCTCCAACCTTCCATTCCACCCTTCATGTAGGGCAGCCTGAGTACTCTTTCTACAACGCAAAACGGTTTATGTTTCCTTCTCTGCTAAAAGCGATGGATTTTTCAAACCTCCAGGGGCGACATCTTGCCTTTTTCTGCCTCTCCCAATGTGACTATTGCCATTCCCTCAGGGTCCCTGTCCTTCTGCAGTCCTGGAGCTTCTCACCAGTGTGCCTCTGTTCTTGTGGCTTGCTGGGCCGGGGATGACCTTCCTTTGTCAAAATTGAATTCCAGGATCCCCTTCTACACGGAGCTTCCCTACTTCTGTTGTGTTTCCTGACATCCTGTATAGACTCTTGCATATCAGAGCCCTAGACGACTTGGCAAGGCCGCTGAGGACAGGGACCATGTCCTTTTCATCTTAGAGTGGCAACATGCCTGATGCAGCAATTTACAGATGAGGCATTTATCAGCACTGTGACTCTCCTGGAGAAATGTGGGGCAGCATTTTGGGGGCACACACCTCTGGACCTGGTGAGCATAATTAATACCATAAGCATGAGGGGCTCATAACTGGCAAGTAAGGGGCTGGGGTGGTGTGGCTCAGAGGTAGAGCGCTCGCCTGGCATGCGTGAGGCACTGGGTTCGATCCTCAGCACCACAGAAAAATAAAATAAAGATGTTGCATCTACCTATAACTAAAAAATAGATATTAAAAAAAATAACTGGCAAATATATACCATCATTCTCCAGGGTACCAGGAGGCCACAACTCAGCACTGCTTTGCTTATTTTGCATGGGGAAAAGGTGAGGCCCAGAGGCCACCGGGAGAGGGTCTCCTAGGGTCCCTGGAAGGTAGAACCCAAGCCTCCTTGCCTCCACCCTGAGGGCAAAAACTATTTCCCACTACAGGGAAGGTGGGGGTCCCCGGGAGAAGCTCACCTTGTGGCCTAGAAGTTCCTTTGGGCACGTGGGTTGGACCTGTTCAGGGCTTTCTTTTCCACAGCACTGAAACTAGAAAGTCAGAAAGAGATGTTAGGACAGGAGCCGGGAAAGCGAGAGTTATGAGCCGGGGCATCCCTGCTGAGAGCAGGTGGTGCCCAGGCAGCAAAGCAGCTCTAAGGTCCTTCTCTACAACCCAAACTGCTATTTCTAGAAAGGGAGCAAAGAATCGCATCGTCATGCTAGCAAACTCAGAAAATGACTTCCTTAAAGCTGCCTGAGTTTCACCATAGGAAGTGACTCAAGGCACCAGAAACAAGGCAAGAAGCTAAGAGATAGCGTCTGTGAAAATTGCTGCTTTTTACCCAGGAGCTGGGCCTTTACAGTCCTTCCTTCAGAAGGGGATTCATATAACCTTTTGAAGAAAACTAAAGTTTTATGAGCTTTGAGAAGGCTCAGTAACTAGGGGCTGTCTGAAGGACAGAAGTGGTCACAGCAAACCCCAGGGGTTCAAAGACCGACTTTAAGGCAGGCTAGCAAACAGGTGACTTGCTTTAGGGCTTGCCCTGTGAAACAGAGGGACCTGTGTGCTGCTCGATGGCTCTGGGGTACTTGCCAGCATTTTTTTTTTTTTTTTTGTGACAGAGAAGATCCAAGTACCTGAAAACGCTTGGCCCAAGAGTTCAGAGCGTTTCTCCCGTATCAGTGTTTAAGAAATCAGAAGGACTCTGGCTTGGTCCATTTCCTCTGTCAATCTTCTTTGACTCACTGTCTGTAGCTCTGAGCCCTCCACTGACAGCACAGGCCCACAGAAGGCTCCAGAGGGACAGCCTCTCCTGCGACCCTTCATTTTACAAATGAGGAGATGACTGTGTATCAGGGAGACCAAAAAACTTGCTCAGGGTCACAGAGCTGTGAAGTAGCAAAGTTGCAGCTGGAAACTAGCTTTCCTGACTGACGTGCCACACTTGCTTCTGCCACACCACCATGCTGCTCTCTGAGAGATGCTGACATTTATGTGGGCTGCTTTCTCTGTGTTCTCGTTCGCCCTCCTTTGTCTGTTTTGGACACACACTCTGACTTCCTCTTGTGAACCCGGTGGTAGGCCTCTTTCTCTTCTGGAGTTCTATACAGAATGCAAACTATGGCTCTCACAAGGGCTAAAATAAGATGCTGCTGCTTGCCTTCACTGAATTTATTTTTATTTTGAATCCAGGTGCTGGGGAGAGAACCTGGTTCATACATGATCTTTAGAAGACATGAGGTTAAGGAACAAGTCAAGTTACTTACTGCTGAGTGGAAGGTAACAAGAGTCCCATTTCCCTTTCCCCTGTCTTTAAGGTAATCATTGTAAGCCTCTTCATACATGGTCTGTACGTGTCGTATAGCCTGAAAAAATACCAGGAAAACTGAGGGTACGCTGAGTGGGAAGTTTCGAACAATCTCTTTTCATCAAAGAAAATCCCTTGTTCTATACTCCTTAAAAACACTGCCTTTCCATGTATTTAAAATGATTCTGCATTTATGACACAGAATAGATTCTAGAGTTTCTTTTCTTTTTGTCGTGCTCAGGATTAAACCCAGGGCCCTGTGCTTGCTAGGCAAGTGCACTACTGCTGAGCACATCCCCAGTTGATTCTAGAGTTTCTAAGATGCTTTTGAGGATGAAAGGACAGACTAACCCAAGAAGAGTTTTCAGAGACCAGAAAGATTTCTTAGAGTGGAGGTTTCCAAAACCTGACAGGGCTTCAGCATCACTGGGAACCGAGCTTCCTGGGCTCCACCCAGTTGATTCTGATGCACAACCAGGGCTGGGAACTACGCAATCATGGTACCTCACTGGTTAAAAGGACTGAAGTCTTCTCGTGGCATTGTTTAACAGATGTTCACCACCAAAGAAGACTTTTTGCATTCAAACACCATATAAAGTTTGGAGAATGCTTCTCTGATATAAAAGCATGTGACCCCCTAATCCACAGAAATCTCAAAAGGTCCTACCACCTAGTTTCACTTCTGTATGGAGCTGAGTTTAAAGTAACCTATGAATATAACCAGCTACTTTGGAAAAATTCCAAAAGAGGTGACATTTCTTATTGTATAGGTTTGTCATTTTTTGGTCTAAAATAAGTTCATTAACACATTATTGACGGCACATGAATTAATCTGAAATATAGTACACGGACAGTGTCATTCTTCCATTCTTCTTTCTCCCCCCCCACCCCCGCCCCACCTCTCTCTCTCTCCAAGTGTTTATTTTCCCAAAAGCCTATTTCACTTGTGGGTTCTCCTGATACTGTTCTGGACACCTGGAGTTGGGCAGCAATCTAAATGGACTTTGGGAGCACACAGTAGGTCAAGTTTTAGTCTCTGAGGATGTCACAGCCTCTGTACAGGCCAAGCCTTAAGGATAAACTAGGGATGCATGTTCTTCTCAGTCCCCTTTTTACTTTTGCCTCATTGTGAACTAGGGATAATCTTAAACTAGTGAGCTTATTTCAAAAATCATACACTACATTATAAATTTAATAAATGCTATGAACAATCTCCCTAGAAAAACACATAGATGTGTACATATGCATACTAGTACATACACACGCTCAGTCCCATGTATTACTTCTTTAGATTAAGAAGTTCTGCTCATACTATAACTTTGGGCACTATTTTGTTTTTTAAATAACACTCTATGTTAATCTCATAACTTTTGCCATAAAAAAGTAATTTTTACTTACTACACCCTTGCCTATAAAAGCAAATACTCCAGTGGTTACTTCAGCAGCGAATATCACCAGTAGGCAGGTAAAAAACTGTAGAGGAGAGAAAACACTAATTTCATTAATTTAATACCTTTTCAATGTATTCAGTCCCTTTGACTTTAGTTATATTGAAAAGACATTAGGCAAGGTTATTAGTTTGAGTTGATCCAGCAGTAAGCATCTGCCCCTTTAGTTTCCTTTATGCAACCGTTGTTTCTTTCATTCATCTATTCATTCATTCAGCAATTGTTTATTGAGCATCTGCTCTGCACCAGTTACTGTCCCTGGTGCTTAGTATACTATAGAGAACAAGGTCTCAATGTCTCTGCATCAGGAACTTCACATTGGATAGAGGAAGATACTAATGAATAAAGGATTTAAAATTTGAATAAGAAAATTTTATAAAGTGACACAGAAATGCCACCATCCCAGGTCAGTACCTGGCCACCTATGTGCTCAATAAATACTTGAAGAGCAAAAAAGCCTCTATCAAGATATAAAGCGGGGTCAGGAGAGAGGTGTCATGGGGTCTGGGCTTGGCGAAGAGTGTGGAAAGGCTTCTCTCAGGGGGTGTGTACTGTGGGGAAGTGGGTGTCCTCTTGGACAAATTTCCATTCAGGTCTTGGGTTTGCTTTGATCAAACCAAGTTCATTGATTTGTCATTGATAAACAAGGGAGAGATGCCCAACAGCAGGGGAGAGAGAGAAAGAATGGGTGGGTGAGGAAACAAGTCAGGCATTTTTATACAGCAAGAGGTCAGAAGCAGCAAAGTTAAAAAATCCGAAGGTTGCAATGAGTGACTGAAATGAGAGACTGCCTAATAAAAGTGATGCTTCACACTCCCAATGGAGAAACAAAAAAACTCCCCCCTCCCCGTCTTTCTTCTTGTTTCACTTATACATTGGCATTGGCTTTATAGCAGTTAACTGATTTTTTTTTTTTTTTAACCAGAGTCTGGTGGTTAAAATAAGCCACTAGAGGGATGTTTGGTTAAGTTATTGGTCTTAACCAGAAATGCTTTTCTTATAGACAACAGCACTTCCCTTGCCTATAGGGATCTTTTAGCTGCCTCATCCACAGTGAAATATTATTTTTTTAAAAAAATAATCATAATTGCCCCTTCCAATTACTAGGCACTTTTCCTTCCTAAACATCTTTACACTAATGACCTCATTTTTTTTCACACTTTCCATATGAGGCAGGAACAAAAATAATATTATTCTTATGCAAACCCCAGACTTAGGAAGATCAGGGAGAGTCCAGGGCTCAGTGAGTCCTGGGGGACCCTGGGCTGCAGGCCAGGCATCCTGACTTCCTTCAGACCAGCTCCCCCGACCCCACCCCTCCATGCCCCACTTACTGATCCGAGCACACACTGTGACTCCCGCATGGCTCCACAGCACCCAAAGAACCCCACGGCCATCATCAGGGCCCCAGCTCCAACCAGCACGTAGAGCCCTGTGGGAAAGAGGTCCAGGGAGACTGTTCAGAGTCAGGCTAAGTGAAGTGCCTGGCTCTCCAGCCCCGGAGGGCCAGAGCAAACAGAAGGACTTCACCACCACAAACTGGGCTCCAAATTCTAGGCCCCCCTGGAGCATTTGATTGTCCATACTGTAATGAGTAACACCTGTTGAATGCTTCCTGGGCACACCGTATGCCTTGGCAGTGTGCCGTGATCCTCTGAGGTAGGGGCTACTATTGGAAGCAAATATAAGCAACACAGTTTCGGCACCATGATGAAAGCACAAATAACCAGGACGGGAGAGGCTTCACGGATCAGCCGTGCCTTTTAGTCAGGATCAGAGTCGGGCATTGGAGGGGCTCACTTTCCGGGTAGAAAATGGCCCAGGTTCCATAAGGGATCTGTGTTTTATAGTTTACAATGAGGGTGGCTTAATCACTGGGGACTGAAGCAGAATGTGTCAGTTTGGGCAGCCGGGAAAAAAGTTGTAAAAAGTCTGAAACTTAGTGTCACTGGGAAGGGATGGAAGCTCAGAGCTCTGTGTCCATTGCTTCTCTTCTTCCTCTTGGACCCACTGTTACCCAGAGCTTCACTATTTGATTGTCTCCTTCCAGGACTCACGGGCAAAGGGAAAGGGTGAAAGTCCAGGGCCCAGCGCTGAGCATCTGCCTCCTGGCTTCAGGACCCATTTTCACTAGGAAGGGATGAATATTTTGCCTTCTTCCTCCCCACCTCTTCCTCTCCTCCTCCCAGGGCATCCTGTCTTGGGGGTTCTCATTTTCCAACTGTAATCCCCAGTTCAGAGAAGAAAGCCAAGTTAAGGAGATAAAAGAAGCTGCCCAAGGGCACACAGCCAGCAAGAGGTGGAAGCCAGAGCTGCCCACCTCCCAGAGCTCACACCTGGATGACCACAACATGCCTCCTCGGGCCAGGCTCTGCAGCTCAGATTCCTATACCTTTGCACAGGATGTAACAGTGTCCCCTTTAGGCTTTGCATATAACCCTTGCTGCTCTGCCACTGCAGCTTATTTTTAAAATGGACATGTTTCTTTCTTTTCCTCTCTCCCTGTTCTTCCCTAATCTCTCCCCTCTTTAATCTCAGGGGAAACAGGATTATCTTTCTTCCCCAACCTACGCATATATATATCTGTCCCTGAGTGCATATCCACCATAGGAACAACATAATCCAGACTTTGGCGATGGCACCAGAAGATCTCAGAAATGACCACCTCCCAAATTAACAAGTGAATCACAACTCCAACCGAGAACACGTGGAATGGAGCCTTTGAATCACCTCTTTAAAAGGCTCTGTTTCTGCTGATGGATAGAATCACAGTCTCCTGTGTGTCTCTCTTGCTAGCAAAGTAATAATTCCTTTCTCTCAAAACTGTGTCCTTGTTATTGGATTGGGACTGGGGACAAGGATGGAGATTTTGGCAACAAGGAGAGTTCTGTGATCCACAGGAGATTCATGACACTGAGTTTAGGGGTGGTCAGGAGCTGGTGAGAGCTGGGACACACACCCAGGCCTTTCTCCTGAGCCTCTGCACTTGGGACTTCATGGCTGTCTCTATCTGAGAGGCCTGAGGCCCAGTGTTTGGGAGGAAAAACCAGCTGCCCAGGCACGGAGGGGAGCTGCTCAGACACAGAGGGGGCTTTTGGTTAAGGACAGGAGCAGAGGAAACAGCAATAAAATATGGGTTTTGCATGATTTTTCTCCTTTTGAGGGCAATACTGTAGACCCTAGGCAAAAGAGGCTAATATTAATAATTAAGAGGGGCGAGAGAGAAGGTCATATTAATATTCTTAATACAATATCAGCTACATCTATGAGGGGCTCATTTTTTCTGGTACTGATCTGAACACCTAGTGTTGATTTTTTAATGCAAAATTTAATTCAGGACAGGCCTGTGAGGTAGGCACTCTTATTAACTCCACTGTTTAGTCAGAGGAACTGGGCCTCCAAAGAGTAAGCCATTTGCCCAAACTCACAGGGCTGCTTAATGGGCAGTGCAGGCCCTGAAAGCCAGCTCCTGGGCAGAAGGCCATCCTGCCTCTCCAGCAACAGCAGCGACTTTGGTTTGGGTGGTGACTTTTACTTCCTACCTAAATCAAACTCAAGAACAGCTGTTCCCACAGGGAAAGAAAAGGGCAGACCTGCTCGGGCTCTGAGAGAACTCCAGCCCAGCCTTCCCTGGTTTCCTTCTCTGATCCCGAGATAAGGGGGAACACAATGAGACCTGGTACTTGGCTTACTTGCAATAACTCTCATGGCCTCTATTTTCTTTTCTGCATTTTACTCAGATGAGTCACCTGGAAACCACTCCCATTTGCCGGAGGTGGGGGCTGGTGTCAGGCCTCTTTGGGGAACCCCTGAGCCTGCCATTCAGGCGCTTCCTGGGGCTCCACTGGGTTGCTGAAAGTGGTTTGTGGGCAGGCCTGTCTGTTCACGGACCAAGCGAGGCTGCTTGGTTTCCTGCATTGCCCAGCCTGGCTCAGGGTCCTTCTCTGGGTTGGCGACTCTGCAGTCCTGAGGGAGGTTCAAGCTTCCTGCTGTTCCAGCTCTGCCACTTCCTCCTGTTCCATTTTCTCTAAAGGCTAATTCAGTGGGGGAATGAACGTGGTAACTAGAGAAATAATAGCATATTAAAAACAATGATATTGTTGGCGGCACTGACGAAAAACCTTATCGTTTTTAATAATGTTTTCATTTTTCAAAGCAATTTCACTTCCACCGTCGTCTCATTACTTCCTCAAAACAACCTGGTTAGGTAAGACAAGCGTTTGTTTTACAAATGGGGATCAGCAAGGCAAAATGCTGTGGGCCTGGGCCCCTGACTTCCCACCAGGCTCTTCTCACCCAAGCAGGCTGAATGAAGGGCAGCAGGAGGGACACCATATTCAACGCCTTCTCAACAGGTGGCCCATCTTACTCTATTGATTTCCTGCTTAAGTTGTTCATGGCCTCCCCCATTGTTACTGCTACAACTGCAACATGATCATCTGTGTGGAGTCCCAGCCTGAGGACCAGCACACCCTAAACCCTCATCCATCCCTCACTCCGGCCATCTGGAGATCACTGTGGTCTGACCATGCCTTGCTCTTTGCTGATTTGTGCCTTTGCAGATTCCCATATTTATCCCTCTGTAGATTTTTAAACCCACAAACCTTACTCATTCTATTTAGAGAGAATATGCTGGATATTTCAAGTGGATCAAGAGTAAATCAATTTGGAAGTGCTGGACTGAGATACTTTATCACCCATCTTTGCTTAGAGATACATGCTGGGAACCCAGCTCAGCAAACATCCATGAAGCCATCAGAGGGCTGGACTGTCCAAGGTCAGGCAAATGAGAATGGAGTCCCAACACACTGTGAGAAAGTCTGGGAATATAGGGGAAAAAAAGGTGCTCCTGCAGAGGCTCGGGCTCAGTGGGCAGAGGCCCAGGGTCTGGGGAGGACAGAGTTGATCTGCACTGTGCACAGCTTGATCTCTCTGGCAGAGATCCTTATGTTTCTGAAACAATGAGCTCTTCAAGAACATGTGTTGGCCAAGTGTGGTGGTGCATACCGGTAATTCCTGCAGCGGGGAGGTTGAGGCAGGAGGATCATAAGTTCGAGGCCAGTCTCAACAACTAAATGAGGCCCTAAGCAACTTAGCGAGACCCTGCCTCAAAACAAAAAATAAAAAGGGCTGGGGATGTGGCTCAGTGGTCAAGTGCCCCTGGGTTCAATCTCTAGTCCCCGCCCCCTGCCAAAAAAAAGCTGAGAATCCCAGAGCTCATGGCTAAACCAACCTGTAACTGCCCTAGCATCTCACTGTCCTGAGACCTCTTTCCATCCAGTCTCCGCTCATGTAGGAGTGTGTTGTTGTGATTCCTCCACTCCCCCATTCCCAGTGAGCCCTGCTTATAGAGCTGGAGAGAAATCAGAAGAAACTGTGCAAGTGGCAAAATTATATATATATATATATTTATTTATTTATTTTAGTTGGACACAATACTTTTATTCCATTCATTTTATTTTTATGTGGTGCTGAGCCTGGGCCCCATGTATGCTAGGCGAGCACTCTACGGCTGAGCCATAGCCCCAGCCAGTGGCAAAATTCCTTGGGCCTCCTGAACCCTGTTCCAAATCTGGTTGTAATATTCTGCACAACATAAGACCACCTATGACTTCCAAGGATACCTTATCCTTTATATGCTCCTCCTTTAAAAAAAAAAAACAGCTGCTGGATGAATAAGTTAATTCACAGCACATTTTAATTCCAAGATGGTTTCTACAGAGCCCTCTTCTTCCCACGGCACGTGTGATAGATGCATGGCCTATTTCCCAAATCCCTCATGCTTTCCAAGTCCTGCTTCTCTTGATTTAAAGAGAGAAAACACTTTGAAATTTCATTTTTATCTTTAATAGCTGGGTGTTACAATGCCAGTGATCTCTAGTGACATGCTACCAACAAGAGCTTTTTCTGAACATCTTACTTCCCGACAATTCCTGCTTCTCTCTCAGATTTTGGATGCGTCTTTTAAAGCAAGTAGCATCAATACAGTTAACACACAAAGGGGATGGCTTTTTAAGGCCTGTTGGCATAAATTCATTGTAAAATGGCTCCCCCTTTGTAGGGACTGGATATTGGTATGGCTATAAACATTGGCTTTTAGCAGCAGACAGTTTCATATAACTTGCAAATGACCATTTTTCATCTAAAAATAATGTTTTTTATGCTTATGCATAAAAACTCTCCTTCTCAGCTTTTCCTGAATGCATATAATTCCACTTGTCCCTCAGTATCCCTGGGGGATTGGTTCCAGGACCTCCTTGGATACCAAAGTCAGTGGGTGCTCAAGTCTCTTATATAAAATGGTGTAATAGTTGCATATAACCTAAACACACCCTCCCATATACTTTAAATCATCTCTAGATTACTTATAGCATCTGATACAGCATAAAAGCTATATAAATAGTTGTTATACTGTATTGTTTAGGGAATAAT